CAACAAGATATTTGGAAAGATCCGGCGTATCTTCTGGTAGAGTCGTACAAGCATCATTACTCGCAGGTTTGTCCAGAGATGTAACATAAACAGGCACTGGTCCGGCGAGCTTGAACCCTTCCACACCACTCTGGAGATAAGCAATGTTCTTCTTTGTCCCATCTCCCCCTAGCGCCTCTGTATTAAATGCAGAGTATTCCCCGTTTGTAATTGACGCAACGGACATAACATCTACCCCAGTTGCACCAGAGCTAGCATAAAACAGCCCCTGATCGCCACTATTACCAGCAGAGATGGCAACAAAGACGCCCTGCTTCACAATTCTAGAGGACGTAGTCGCCCAAGCATCTTCGGAAAAGCCTCCGGGACCTCCAATAGACGCATTGATAACGTCCGCCCCATCTTCATAAGCTTGGACGAAAGCTTGTATCAACGCATCTCCTCCTGTTCCATCGTACCTGCATCCGAAAACTTTATACGCGAGAAGCTTTGACTTGGGGGCTACCCCAACGAAGTTTCTGTCTTCGCCAGCCACGATTCCAGCAACGTGAGTCCCATGACCGCCGCAATCATAAGGGTCTGGATCGGGGGAGAAATCTGCACCCTAGTAATTGTCACCCACGATATCTATTCCCCCAACAACTTTGAATCCCGGGCCGAAGCCACCGCCGACGGAGGGATGGGTGTAGTCTATTCCGGTATCGACCTAGAGTATTTAGCACAAGCATCATTAATGGGAAGAGATAATCACAATTGCCACAGTGATTCCTTCACCCTGTATGCCCTGTTCATGAAGATCTAGTACGCCAGTGTTTCCTAGAGCAATTAGCGTAGTTCATGAACAGATACAGGCAGACTTACTGTGACTGCTCCATGCTGGAGCAGCTTTTTCCCCAACTCCATGAATCACCGGGACAGTTCTTGGTATCCTCCTCACGGGCCAAATCCTAGCGACACCCTCTAATGCCCCAATCTCAGCCGCAATGTTATCGTCGTTACTAGCAGTAGTAAAAGATGTCCCAAAGAACACCATTGAGGTGATATTAACCTGAGGGGTAACCTCTATCCCCTCGGCAGACAAGACATTGTAGAAACACTCAACAGGCTAACCCATAGTTAGAGATCAGCAGCGGGCGGACAGGACACATACATCCGCCTAGACCCTTAATTGCCCATAATTCGAAAACTCAACAATATATCGCCCGGGAATAATCACATTCCCACCACGCTGCTCAGGCGACTTCTGGTATTTCGACTGCGCAGAAGCATATCCAGATAATGATAGAAATAGCAATGAAGCCAGTGAAATCATTTTGATGGAGCGATGTGCAAACAAAGCAGTGCAGGAAGGAATTACCAGCAGGAGCTGGCTGGAGTTATCATATACCTTCAACTCTCTCCGAGACCAACCGTCGTGAGTGCTTCTCGGAGGGGCTGGCTGGGTCAAGAGATGGCGGGCAAGGAATCAACATTATGGGAAGTGAGATCCAGGTAAATACTGGTCGTTTTGCCCACCTCTGTCTAGGTTCCTCAATTCCAAGACTGCAAGGGGGATGTTGTAGATCTCCCGGGGCCGATAGCGCGGAACGGGAATGCCCCACGGGTAGCTATGCACCTTATGCATCTGACACAAACACCACATTTTGCTGGTGGAATATTTTGTTCGAGGTGGCACGCTGGTATGCAGGCTTCCCCATATCCTTTAAGTGGCGGGAAGCATTCCATCACTTCTCAGAGCGACTGAATGAAGGGGGTATTTCCTATGGAAGAATTGGTGTCGTTTTTGTCATGTTTGCCAATATGCTATGGGGGCACTGAAAGGAAGTAAACGCATTTCAGGGGTGTAGGAATGCAAATGCATCGCCTAACATATGGCAGCGGCCTCGCCAGCAGATGCGCACTGTAGGGCCTTCCGGAACATAGGCATCCGAGCAACATGCAAAACCCAGCATACACCAAACAATCGATACACACTAGAGGTACCCGAGCTTTCCCTCAGTGCTTTGAAGCCAAGTTCATTAGCCCATACAAGTGTCTTTTCGAGTATCGTACTTCTTCAGCTGGGACACAGTAGCAGACCTCATATGCTGAGTTAATCAAATCATTTTCCATCACCTCGTAATATTCTGGCGCTGTGTCGAATTTGGTGGAGAGTCATACCATAAACCACCCCAAATTCCATCAGCGAACAAACCCCGAAAGTATTTCTAAAAATTAATGGTCGTTAGCATATTATAATACAGTTAAGTTCAACGCTCCCACCCGCTCAGACCCCGACAGGATTATCCACCACGCATACCCTCATAGACTACGTACCTTATGATACCACAATGCTGCCGCAATTCCATCACACGTTATGATGATACGTACACCGGCACCCACTCAGACCCTCCCCCTAAGCCCTAAACTCAGGCACGAGCGGCCAAAACTGAATCTCTTGGCACCATTTGTTTTTCCTATATAAGGCCCCCTCCCCCCACTCCCCACTTCCCTCTCCAGCTCTCTTTGCCTTTTGGTAAGTCCACCGCAACTTCAACTCCTCTATTCTCCCAAATCCGCTAACTATCAAGCAGGCTTAGATCAAGTGTAGTATCTGTTCTTTTCAGCTTAATCTCTGAAACGGCTCTCCGGAGCCTGTTTTCTTGGTTAATCTTATTTTTGTTTGCCCAGGGACCAAGCCTCTGGCTCGCTACGCTTGGTCCCACCGTGTCGCTGGTATTGCACTGTCTCCAGCTGACGCGAAGTTGTTTTTGCCTTTGTATTTCTGGCCGCTGTGCGAGGGACAAATGCAAGAGTAGACCGTATCATCTGTCGTGAATTGTTTTCGAGAGTTTGAGAACCGGTATGCTATTTACAGTACCACCCACCTCCCCTCCTCGAGATGCTCAGCGATGACATGGCTCCCTCAATCTGAGGATTCCAAAACTTGCTGCGATTGTTTTCTCCGCTGTTGAGATAGCGGTGTAATTTCGGCTCCAACTGAACAGGAACGTAAAGAGAAGGTGATCTCCTCTCAACACGTGTGCAGGTATATTTCTTTCAAAAGCTATTGGGAGGAAATGGAAGGTTGTACCGAATAAATAAAACAAAAACCTCTACTTGAGTACAGTAAAGTGTCATACCTATGCTACAATCTGCGACCCCTATGACTAGAAGCTGACCAGGAACTGACCAGGAACTGACCAGGAACTGACCAGGAACTGACCAGGAACTGACCAGGAACTGACCAGGAACTGACCAGGAACTGACCAGGAACTGACCAGGAACTGACCAGGAACTGACCAGGAACTGACCAGGAACTGACCAGGAACTGACCAGGAACTGACCAGGAACTGACCAGGAACTGACCAGGAACTGACCAGGAACTGACCAGGAACTGACTGCGACAGCCAACAACGACCATCACCACCACTACGCACAGTACAGATCATCGAAGTTAAAACTTAAAAATCTCAAAACTCATAAATTTCCTTCAGCTATCACAGTTTTACAAATGGGAAGATGAATCACCACCATTGGTGTCATTAGATAGATACTACAACCGCGGCTGTACCATCAATACCAAGTGAGGATGAGGATGAGGAAACCCGAAGCACACTTTAGTATCAACTTTCGACCTATGGTCTTTCACAAGCTATGTATACCACAAATGGTCCCCAACACAATAAATTTATTCGCCAACTATCCTCTCCATTTCCTCATACCCCAGCCCTTCTTTTTTTCCAGAGATTCACCTGTGAGGTTTTTGGTTCCTTTTTTTTTGTATATTTTTGGCTCTTCATGCTATTTACCGCCTCCCGATGATACCAACCATGATAATCAAGAGGGTATTCGGCAAATGCTGCTACGACCCAAAAACACAATTTGTAATACAAAATCATGATCCCAAAGTAAGCGGTGTTTGGATCCAAAAACGTGATTTGATCTGGGGGGCTGATTTTCCGGTTTAAAAATCATTGATCTAAGCCTACCGTATTTGCATGACAATAATATCATTAGTAATGAAAACCAACGTGACTCTTCTCTACTGTATTTCGTCAGCTTGAAGGTATTTGCATGTTAGGGGAAGAAAAAAGAAAAAAAGAAAAAGAAAACACCAACTTAAGCTGAACCCTGATAAGTGAAGAAAAAAAATCAAAGACCAAATTGGAACGGGTGTTTTTGGTAAGAGGTGATCTCGAACCACGATTCCGGGAGTGAGTGAGCGACGTGATTTCAAGATTTAAATGTGTGATTCCGAATCCCGAAATCATGATCTCGGGGTTCCAAAAATTCCACCCCAAGTTTTTTTTGTTCCTTAAAGTTCTGATGGTTGAGGGACATTTACAAGTTTTGACTTCCAAGATTTTTGCGGGTTCCGGCATTTTTGGTCTTTGTGGGGGGGCATAAGTTGAGACGAAAGCTATCCATCCGTCTCTCCAATGTTTCCAAAGCGCGTCGAAGAATCAATATCACCACGGTCCCCCATGTACGACACCTCAGCAGTCACCACAACTGCTGTCCGGAGTGTGGTATTGTTGACTGGGTACGATACGATTATCACTCTGGCTTCCTCTCCTCAACTACTATAGCTCTGACCAACTCGCTCATCCCCTTCCTAAAAGTGTTTAGCTATATTCGAAGGCGATGTGCCCGTGCCCATTTTTGTCCGCACAACAGCACAACCCACTGGAACAGAACCCATCACCCATCACCTTTTTTACACACAAATACCAAACTTCCCCTTGCAGCATAAAAGCGAGTGCGTGCACATGACTCATAAGCTTCCCTGATCCCTGTATTGTACCTGGCCACCTTATGATTCAAAGGCAATCAACCGAAGAAACCATTATCACTACCAAAATAGCAATTT